TCCCTGTGTCTCTGTCTGTCTGTCTATCTGTCTTTCTCTTCTGACAAATATGTTTTTTTTTTTTTTTTTTTTTTTTAACAACAACAAAGGCCCTTCTATTCTGGGGGCCATCAGTCCGATTGCGTATCACCGGCAAGCAAGTTTTTTACACCCATCAAAGGAAAGGGGAAGAATAGACAAGAGGAAAGCAGCGGCCCAGCCCTTGTGGTACTAGATGCCTATCAATGGGGGACTACTACAGAACATCCCATCCACCAAGCCTTGGCCTTACATAGGGGGTTGGCCTGCAGGCCGGGAAGCTTGCTAGCAGCACCCAGTCACGCAGCAGTGTCAAAACTCAGAGAGGCCAGGCAGAGGGGGGGGCGCGTCTGTGGTAGGTCCTCAAGCTGCCTGTCAGCCTGCTGATTTCCTAGCTCGATCACCTTCATGGTCCGTACCATCCCTATTTTCCCTTCGCTACTTGTTCCTCGATTCTACTGTATCCATTCTCATATGTGTTCCTTTCTTGTGCGTTCAAATGTCAGTCCCTATCCCTTTGCCCTTTCTTTACCCTACATGTCCTCGTATAACTTCATAGCCTCCCTGGTTCCAATCTCTCTCCATCTCTCCTAAAGTCTCCAAAAGTCTCTGCTCCTATCTCTCCTCTGTTATCCCCAGCATATGTTTCTGTACCATCGCGCTTGTTCACTTCCACTCCGATGTATTCCTATGCCTGACCTTGCCCCCTTGCCCTCCTGCCCCCCCACCTATTCTCCTCCCTCCCCCCCCCCCGCCCCCTTGATTAGGCTCACCTATTCCCCCCCTATCATCACACTTAGACCGCTAAAGTACACTTATCAATCTCTGACACAAGCCCTTTCTAACTCCCTTACTAACTATAGTACGGACCGGTTGCTTTGCATAACGTTCCGTCGCCCAACCGCTATTCTTCGTCCGTTTTGACCTCTGGGGTTTGGCTCATCAAGACTGGGCCAAAGCTTATCGCAGGTGTTTAACCAAGTTTCCCCGAATGTCCTGGGTTGCCGTTGCGATATGACTAAGCAGATTATCTTGCGGCCAACTATTTGTCCAATGCCCCCAAAATTGAGCAATTGCCGGCCCTGAACTCCATGCTCTTAAACACCCATGCCGGGATCGCCTTCGGGGGGGCCCCCGTCTCTAGCCTGCCTACCGGGTTGCTTGCTATTACCACTGAGTGGTCCAAGGTGGCCATCGGACTTATCTGAACTTGCTCCCCTTCCTCGATGAGGGCCATTGATGCCCATATCATATCAATCCTGCTTCTTCTGGACACTGTGTTGCCCCAAAACGTAAAGGCCTTCTCTTGCGGGTATAGGGTCCGGTACGAGTCTGTGCCCACCAATCCCGTCATACTGTTAATCAGTGCCAGCGAGTCTGTGTCCTCATGCCTTGCTGCAGCAGCGTCCATTGCCGGGTCCGCCACGGAGTTAAAATGGCCTGTAATGACAATTTTGTCCCCGTCTGGCACCAATGTCTACAGCCTCTCCCACATCTTCCTTCGTGCACTAATCTGTGAGGGGCCATACACCGTGACCACCCCCCATCGCTCCTCTCCCCACTGTAGGATCACCCATGCCCGCCGACCCCTCGCATCATAATACCAGTCCCTAACTTCACCCCTAAAGTGAGGGGAGACCAGGCATACAGACCCCACCTTTTGTGCCCTGCTCCTGGGCCCAAACCTGATGGCCCTTCCACCACAGCGCCAGCTGAGCTGTCTTGCCTTCGCCCAACTTTGTCTCCTGAAGGCAGACTACATCAATCTGGTGTGCTTTCACCTTCGCTGCCAATTCCCTCCGCTTAGGAAGCAGCGATCTCGCCACCAGTCCCCTAATGTTCCATGTTATGACTCACAACGGATTACGATGTATACTTTTCTGCATTGTTCCTTTCGTAGTATCCCGCTGTCTATTCTATGTTCCTACCATCACCAAATTCACAATCCCTTTCTTATACTTAGTGCTGGGGGGGTGTCACCGTCCCTGTGACACCCTATTCAGGATAATATATCCCCTCAGTCCCCCCTTTCCCATATCCCAGTTCCCTTCAAAAACTGCTCCCTCCGTACCTGGTCCTCCTGTGACAAACGCGCATTTACGCGGTTGAGGATGGAGAGAGAGGTAGAGTGGATAACCTGGTAGTCCTGTGGGAGCACTGCAGGACCAAAACGCACATTTACGCTGTTGAGGATGGAGAGAGAGGTAGAGTGGATAACCTGGTAGTCCTGTGGGAGCACTGCAGGACCAAAGAGCTCATCAAAAGTAACCCATTGCATGCTTCTCACCTGTAGTCTCGGACACCCCGATTTCTTGGGGATGACTTCGATGAAGTAAACAATCACTGTATTCCTTTTTTTTTTTTTTTTTTTTT